ACACCAAGCCAGAATCATCAGCCCCAGCAAATGCTGGTTGGCAAGGCTTAAACAAATGTTATTTTGTAAAAATTCACAAATAACATTATCACTGTCTTTCTTTTTTTTTTTTTTGGTCAATTTGTCTTTCGGAGTAACGTAATATTCTTGTGGCTCTTCTAACGTGATGCATACCAGTCTACTTAAGGTCAGCAAATACTGTTCACTTTCTCTAATGAAGTCCTTTTTTCACTCTGACATTATCCGGGGATGTCTTCATTATAGAAATTACACTGCATTCAATCACACATGGTGATCCTTTTGTCCCAGCATCCGAGGCAATCCCAGCACCTTCACAGCACCAGCATCTCTCCAAGAGCCTTCCCAAAGAAAAGGGCCATTCAGACCATCCTGCTGTTAGTGAGCTACTTTGTGTTCTGAGAGGACCTCATCATATCATCCTCTTCAACCCTACTGTGGACATATAACCCAGTCATCCTGAGTGTGCGGAACCTGGTGGGCAATGTCTATGCCACTGTTGCTCCACTGGTACAAATTAGCTGATAAAAGGATAGCTGACATTCTCCAAAATATGCAAAGTGCTATAAAGTTTTAACAAGTTAGCAATGGAAAACATTTCTAAATACTAGTCTTATCCCATAAGTTGTTCAAGTAGCCTTGGAATTCTTTTTACCTTACTTAATAAAATGCATGGAATCACACTTTTATTAATATTTATCTGATTTCAAAACGGATGCATCCAAAAACCACGTAATTTCTTTAGTTCAATGTCTACCATGGGTCGACATTTCCATGTCAAGTCTATTACACTTTTATTTTCATTTTATCTTGGTAGCAGAAAATGTTTCTCTCGAAGTATACTCTTAACAATTTTCTATCGGCAATCAAATCTCTCAAAGTTTTTACTTCTGAAAAAATTTAATTTACTCTTATTTATGAAAGACACTTTAGCTAAATATCCAATTTTAGCTTTTATACTATGCTTGTTCATTAGAACATCCCTGACTGGAAATAATATGTCAATTTGGAGTTTACATTTAATCTATAACTTATTTTAATGGGTTTAAAATAAAATTTACATGTAAACTTGAGATCTTCTTTATTAATGAAATTTACTTATACATTAACTATAGCCTCCATGAATAAGGTCCTCAGTCCTTATTCATATTATAAAACAGGTTTGTACCATTTGACCAGTATCTGATTCCCCCAAGACACAGCCCTTGGTCACTAGCATTCTAGTGTCTGTAACTGTAATTCAAACCCTTTTCCAGACTCCACATATAATTGAGATAATGCAGTGTTCTTCTTTCTGTGTCTGACTTATTTCACTTAGCCTAATGACCTCAAGATGATCCATGTGGTTGCAAATGGCAAGTTTTTTTTTCAAGGACTGAACTGTGACACACACATACACACATGTGCACACATGCACATACATATATGTTAAATTTCCTTTTGGTTGTTGTTAAGATACAACAACAGGCTGGAGTGCAGTGGCGTCATTATAGCTCACAGTAACCTCTGAATTCTGGGTTCAAATTATTCTCCCATCTCAGCCTCCGAAGTAGCAAGGACCACAGGGGTACACCACCATGCCTAGCTAATTTGTAAGGACATGGTCTTGCTATGTTACCCAAGTTGATCTTGAACTTCTGGCCTCAAGTAATCCTACTCCCTCAGCATCCCAAAGCACTGAGATTACAGGTTTGAGCCACCATGCTCAACTACGTAATATTCTGTTTAACTTCTGTGTTAATGGACATTTAGGTTGTCTTCATATCTTATCTATTGTTAATAACGCTTCAATAAACATAGGAGTGAAGATATCTCTTCAATATAGCAACTTTACGTTCCTTGGATATTTACTTAGATGTGAGATTGATGAATCATATGACGGTTTTATTTTTTATTATTTGATGAACCTCCATGCTGTTTTCTATAATGGCTTTACCATTTACATTCCCAGTGATAGTGTACAAAGGTCCCTTTTCTCTACATTCTTGACAACATTTGCTTTCTTTTGAATTTTTGATAAATATCACCTTAATATTTGTTTGAATGAGATCTCATTGTGGTTTTGATTTGCATTTTTCTCATAATTACTAATGGCTTCTTTAAAAGAATAACATTTAGTTTTTGGCTGCTTTTTTTAAAAAAGTGTCACTTTTTATTGTTACTTTTATTTTGGGGGGTTAAGTTTCATGAGTTTCTTGCAGATTTTGAATACTAATCCTTTATCTGATATTTGGCGTACAAGTATTTTCTCCAATTCTGTAAATAGCCTTTTAATGACACTGACTGTCTTTCACCATGCAGTAGACTTTTTAGTTTGATGTAGTCCCACTTTTTTCCTGTGCTTTTGGCATCAAATACAAAAATTTACTGCTAGGACCAATGCCAAAGAATTTTCCTCAGTGTTGTCTTCTAGAAGATTTTTGGTTTCAAGTCCAATGTCTACATCTTTAATATATTTTAAATTAATTTTATGTATGCTGTAAAGGTTGGGTGCAATTTGTTTTTGTATGTGGATATCTCATTTTCCCGACACCATTTATTGAAGAGTTTATTCTTTTTCCATTGTGTATCTGTATGCCTTTGTTGAAAATTCATTGACTGTATACAGATGGATACATATAGCTGAGCTCCCTATTCTGTTCCAGTGGTCTATTTGTTTGTGTTTATGCCAATATTTTGCAGTTTTGATGACTACAGCTTTGCTATATAGCTTGAAATCAGGCAGTGTAATGCTTCTAGCTTTGTCCCTCTTGCTTAAAATTGTTTGGAGTCTTTTATAATTCCACACAAACTGTAGATTTTTTTAATTTTTGTTGAAAATGCTATTGGAATTCGGATAGAGACTGCTTTAAATAATACACCAATTTGAGTAGTATGAATGTTTTAGTATTAATTTTTCTGATCCATGAACACTAAGTATTTTTAAATGTGTCTTTTCGATAATTGCCTCCATTAATATTTTACAGTTTGTGTTGCACAAATCTTTTACATTCTTTATTATATTTATTCCTAAGTATAGGTTGGTGCAAATGTACATTGTGGTTTTTGCCATTACCAACCTAATACTTCATTCTTTTTGATGTTATGGTAAATGTACTGTCCTTCTTGATTTTCCCACGGTATTTGTTGTTGGAGTAATAAAATGCAACTGATTTTCTTTACATTGATACAGTATCCTGCAAACTTCCCTAGTTTAACCAGTTCTAAATTTTTTCATGTAATGATGAGCACACTGGCCTGTGTTTACATTAATTGATAGTATCTATTAAGGTATCACAGTGCCTAGAAGTGTGCTCTGTTGTATTTCTGCTGTGACAAATTCATAGCATCTTTTAGTTTAATCTTTTCCTTAAATGCTTTGGTTTGGTATTTGATAATAATGTGTGTCTTTGGTTACTTTTAATTGTGAAACATATTGATCTCCATGACTAGTCAAACTTTCTAATAAAGTTCTTTCATAGTTTTATGTATATTTAGTTAATATAAATCAAATGGTAATATTTTTATGATAGTTTTAAGTTACTAAGGTTTGAAAATATGTCAGTTTTTCAACTGGTCATGATCTGTGGTTTACTTATTTCAAACAATTATATTGTCTATATATATATTGTGTGTGTTTAATGGCTTACAATCTTGCCCCAACTATTTTGTATATAGTAGCAATACTATCAACAATTATTAATCAAATATCATCCTTCATATTATTCTTCAAGTGCATATTGTTTGTTCTAATTAAAAACCTGTGTTATGGTCTTATATAATTATCAATAAAAATTAGAAAGTCTACTTTGTCTGCCCTCTTAGAGAAAATCCAAAGTTAAATGGTATTTTTACTAATTTCTTTTAGAATCACTACCTTATTTTCTCCACAATTAAATGTAACATTAAGGGATAAATTGTATTTCAATGATCCATTCTACAATAGACTTTGGGTCATTCATTGATTGGGCTGAAGCCTCACTCTATTATTATTTCTGATTTTTCATGTTAAACAGCCTAGAAATCTATTACTCATAGAATATTACAAATTAGAAATATTTTTTTTTTTTTTTTTTTTGAGACAGTCCCTCGCTCTGTCACACAGGCTGGAATGCAGTGGCGCGATCTGGGCTCACTGCAAGCTCCACATTCCAGGTTCAGGCCATTCTCCAGCCTCAGCCTCCCAGCCTCACCTGTAGCTGGGACTACAGGTGCCTGCACTGCACCTGGCTAATGTTTGTATTTTTAGTAGAGGCGGGGGTTTCATCCGTGTTAGCCAAGATGGTCCTCGATCTCCTGACTTGTGATCCACCCGCCTCGGCCTCCCAAAGTGCTGGATTACAGGTGTGGCCACTGCACCCAGTCGAGAAATCATATCTTGGATGTACAAATTATAAAAGTAAACTGAAAGTATAATATAAAATATACATTTTATGTATTAATGAATTGTCACTCAAGTAAGCAGAAATATTAATTTAAAATACTTTTCACAAAGAAAGTCCAGGGCAAAATAACCTATGTAAACATTCCTACCAATATTCAATAATAATTATCTAATCTTCAGCAGAAAATACTTCCAAAAATGAAGAAGAGGAAACACTTTCCCATTAATTCTAGAGCCAGTATTACTGTAATACTAAGGCAGACACAGTATAATAGAAGGACTGTGGGCAAATATGCCATATTCATATAGACACATACATCCTCAGAAAACATTAGCAAGCTAAATCAGGCACATAAATGTGAATATACACCAAGACCAAATGTGATTGTTTTGCAAATGCAGTTGTGACTTAATATCTAAAATCAATCAAGATAATGCCAAGTACTTAGTAAAGAACAAAAAAATGATCCTGTAATAGGCAACAGAGAAAGTTACAAAATCAAGCATCCATTCCTGACAAAACCCCAGCAAACTATGATGAGAATAAGATTTTGAGACCCATAAGAGGTATCTATGAAAAACCTATAACTAACGTCATACTTAACGGTGACAGACTTGAGCTCTTTACCTGAAAGTTTGAGAAGGCAAGAATTTCCACTTTAACCACTCTACTCAGCAGTGTACTGGAGGTATTAGCCAGGGAAATTCTACAACAGAAAAAAAATTGTCCAGATTTAAAATAAAAATAGAACTGTCATTATTGCAAATGAAATAATTTTCTGTAAAAAAAGGGATTCACTAAAATATGAGTAGAATTAATACACAAATTTATCCATGTTACAAGACAGAAAACTGGCATGCCAAAGTAGATTATGGTTTATATAAAAGCAACCAACAATTAAAAATAAAATAAACAATTCCATTTATAATGGTATCAATAAAAAACATTAAGAGAAAAAATTTAAGAGAGGTACAGGAATTTTACACAATTTGTAATGCTGAAAGAAATCAAAGATAAACTGAAAATAACTGGAAGTCATCTTATGTTCAAGGATGGTCTGTTTCTAAGACAAAGGACACATGTTTGAGGGGATGGATACCCTACCCTCCAGGATGTGAGTGATTATTATGCACTGTATGCCTGTATCAAAACATCCCATGTAACCCATACTTATGTATACCTACAATAATTTTAAAAATACTTAATATTCTTCGGATAACAATACCCTATAAATTGATTTACAGATTCAATGTAATCCCCTCAAATTTCCAAGTGTATTTTTTTAGAAATTAGAAAGTCTCTCACTCCTTTAAATCAATATATATGTACAGAAAATCAAATTGCACAAAACAATTTTTTAAAAAGAAAAACATAATCAAATGACTTGTACTTCCTAATATCAATTCTTACTAGAAAGGATAGAGTAGGATTCCGCAGTTTCTTCACATTTTCCGTATGTTCTGACCAAGAATACACAGACACTTGACTGCTCTGTTATTCCGTGGCCTGGACACCTGCATGCTTTCCCCTGCAGACCTGAACCCAAGCCAGGGCCCTGACCATTCACAGACATCAGTAAAGGTGTTGTGTTTAGGTTGTAATTCGAAACACTTAAAAGAAAGTATCCCTGGTCCTGGAACAGATTCCTTAAGCTCTACTATAAACTGCATAACCAGACCCCTCACTGCAGACATATCTAGAAAAAGCATCCTTGGTCTCCTTTTCTCCCAATAAGATGAGCTGCAGCCCACTGTGGGTACATCCCTTAAGAAATGCTTTGGGATCATGATACCAGGGTTTAGAGTTTACTTCTTTGTAATCCTAACCCCCTTTATCTCAGAACAGTCTGGGGAAGTCCCTTGTGAAAATTCCCCTGTGGTCACCTTTGGGGCAACTCCAGGTAAGTGCTGAGCTGGAGGAAGAAGTAGGGGAGTCAGCAGAATTTGAAGGAATGAGCTGGGGAAAAGAGGATCCCACTGGGAGATCCTGAGATGCTTGCAAGGGTCTGTGTGGGCTTTGTTGCCTTTCCCTCCCTGATGCATGCGAGCAGCCCCAGAGATGCTGAGACGCTCCAAAATCTCCAGCAGGATACAGGAGGCTGATGGAGGGTCTGAAATTGCAAAGGGTCAGTAAGGAAGTCTGGTGCTTGGACATACAGGGACAGAACTGGTTGGCATCAGCCATGGCGGCCTTCATATTAACAGGCAGGGGAATTGCTTAAAACAGGGAGGTGGAGGTTGCAGTGAGCCGAGATGGCACCACTGCACACCAGCCTGGGCAACTGAGCTAGACTCCATCTCAAAAAAAAAAAAAAAAAAGAAAATGGGGGTTGAACACAGGTGGCTCAGGCCTGTATACAATTCCAGCACTTTGGGAAGCTGAGGCAGAGAGATCACTTGAGGCCAGGAGTTTGACACCATCCTCGGCAGCATAGCAAGATCCCATCTCAACAATAAAAAACAAAGAAATTAGCTGGGCATAGGGGCAAACGTCTGTAGTCCCAGCTATTTGGGAGGCTGAGGTTGGGGGATTGTTTGAGCCCAAGGGTTTCCAGCTGCAGTGAGGCATGATCAAGCCACTGCACTGCAGCCTGAGTGAGAGAGCAAGAGCTTGTCTCTAGGAAAAAAAACAAAAGACATGCAATTTTACCACCAACCTTCTGAGAGTAACGACTTTCAGGAGGAATAAAGAAGGAAAAAAAAAAAAAGCCACTAAATGGTGAGGGTGTGTTCTAGGTTAGGCCTCAGTTGCTAGCTGAGTAGTATCTAAAAAATTCATTAGTAAAACTACAGGCCCTAGGGATGAGTCATGAAGTTAAATGATGAAGTTAAATTCATTAGAAACGCCCATGGTCTTCTTACATGAATTCCAGTGAAAAAATTCCTAATGGCCTAAATAGTAAGGGGTTGAAATGATAGCAGCGTCTTTACTAAAGACTAAAAAAGGAAATGGCATCTTCAAGAATCATGAGAGAGTTCCATGCTGAAGAAGCTCTAATTTTGCATTTGCTCAAGTATTGATTTGATTTGGCTAATATGACACTAATCTTAGGTAAAGGTGCAAACAACTCCATCTCTCATTATAAAAACTGAGTAGGTAGTCTAGTATCAATTCTGATTTTAAGAAGCGAGTTAGAAAAAATTATGGAATCAATAAGATGTTTTGAATAGTATTACAAGCTATTCAAAGGAGAATTCAAAAAACCACACAATATGAGGACATAAAGTATGAAATAAATTTCACTAATACATTTAAAAATAAACTGATTAGACAGGCAACAACTGGCACAGGTCTCCTCATCTCCAGCAACACAAACCCAGTCACGCAGCTATGGGTTGAAAAGGCTGCATGTCAAAAAGGAACTGGTCCGACTTAGATTTTTTACTTTGCATTTTGAGACAGAGTTTCACTCTGTCACTCTGGCGGAATGCAGTCTGCACTCATAGCTAACTGCAGCCTTGATCACCTAGTCTCAGGGATCCTCCTGCCTCAGCTCACCATAGCTAGGACTACAAGTGAGCATCACAACTCCCACTATTTTTTTTTTTTTTTTTTTTTTTTTTTTGTGGAGAGAGAGACCTTGCTATGTGCCCAAGCTGGTTCAAAACTCCCACCCTCAAGAATCTGCCCACCTCGACAACTGCAGTAACTGATTCTACAGACACACACCACCATGCCTGGATAATTACATGTTATTAATTTTTATTTGTGTAGAGAAATCTTGCTATGTTGCCAAGGTGGTCTCAAACTCCCGGACTTAAACAATTCTCCCTATCTCTGCCTCCCAAAGTGCTGACACTACAGGCATAAGCCACTGCACCGCCTGACTTGAGGTTTCTTTAATCTATCATCCCTTACTTCATATAATTGCGAAAGCCAGTACTGTTTTTTATTATTCTTATTATTATTACTTAGTATTTCAACAAGAATCAACCATCTCTCAGGACCGGGCGCGGTGGCTCACACCTATAATCCCAGCACTTTCAGAGGCTGAGGCGGGCGGATCACAAGGTCAGGAATTCAAGACCAGCCTGATCAATATGGTGAAACCCCATCTCTACTAAAAATGCAAAAATTAGCCAGGTGGCTAGCAGGCGTCTGTACTCCCAGCTACTTGGGAGGCTGAGGCGGGAGAATCGCTTGAACCTGGGAGGCATAGGTTGCAGTAAGCTGAGATCACGCCACTGTACTCCAGCCTGGGCAACAGAAAGAGACTCTGTCTCAAAAAAAAAAAAAAAAAAAAAAAAATTCAACCATCTCTCACCATTGCCATGACCCTGGTCAAAACACGTTATCTCCTGCCTGGATGTTGCCACATTCAGGACTCCTGTTTCTACCCAAATCTCCCCACAATCTTTCTCAACTCAGCAGCCAAGGGATGTTTTTAAATCAGAAGAAAGATCACGTTGCCTCTCTGCTCAGAACCTCCCGCAGTTCCCATCCCAGTCAGAGTAAAAGTCAAAGCCCCAGCAATAGCCTCCCAGGGCTTACACAATCTTTACTGATCTAAGCCCAACAACTCCCTGGCCTCCTCCCCTACTTCTCTTCCCCTTCCACTCCCCCACCCGGCCCCACTGGTCTCTTTCCTGAGCTTCAGACACATCACGGAGTTCCCTTCTAGCAACTTTATCCTGTTGTTTCTGCCTACAATGTTCCTACCTCAGCACCTTGGCCAGCTGCTTCCCCACTTCAAGTCTTTGCTCAATTTTCACTTAGGGCGACCCTGGCCACTCTATTTAATATTGCCATCTGTACCCATTCCTGCCATGCTCACTCCTTTTTTTGTTCCCACAAAATCTCGCTGTGTCACTCAGGCTGGTGTGCCATGGCATGATCACAACTGAGACCTCGAACTCATAGGTGAAGCAATCGTCCTGCCTCAGCCTCTCTAATAGCTAAGACTACAGGTGCATGCCACCACACCTGCTAATTTTTAAAAAATATATATACGGCATCACTATGCTACCCAGGCTTGTCTTGAACTCCTGGGCCAAAGCAATCCTCCTGCCTCAGCTTCCTAAATACCTGGAATTATAGGTGTGGGCCACCACCCCTGGGTTCATGTTCATTTCTTCTTGCAGCTGTTACAAACTGCCCTACATTGAGTGCCTTAATACACCACAAATCTACCACCTAACAGTTCTGGGAGCCAGAAGTCCAAAATAGGTCAATTAAGGCTAAAGCCAAGGTGTCAGCAGGACTGCATTCCTTCTGGAGGCTCCAGAGAGGATGTGTTCCCTTGCCTTTCCCAGCTTCTAAAAGCCACCCCCATTCAATTGGCTCATGGCCCCTAACTGCATCTTCAAAGCCAGAAGCGAAGCATATTCAAATCTCCTTCTCTGACCTCTGCTTCCATCATCACATCTCCTCCAATTCTGACTCTCTTACCTCCCTCTTTCTCTTATAAAAACCCTTGTAACTGCTAGACACAGTAGTCGTGGCTCACACCCATAATTCCAACAGTTTAGGAGGTCAAAGCGGGGAAAGGCTTGAGGCCAGGAGTTCAAGACCAACCTGGGAAACATAGCAAGATCCCCAACTAAACAACAAAACCAAAAAGAAATAAGAAAAGAAAAAATTAGCTGGGCATGGTGGTATGCATCCGTATTTTCAGCTACTTGAGAGGCTGAGGTGAAAGGGTCGCTTTAGCCCAGGAGGTCGAGACCAGCCTTGGCAACGTAACAAGATCCCATCTCTACAAAAAAATACAAAAATTAGCTGAGCAAGGATGGTGTGCACCTGTAGTCCCAAATACTTCAAAGGCTGAGGCGGAAGAATTGTTTGAGCCCAGGTGGTTGAGGCTGCAGATAGATATGACTGCATCATTACACTCCAGTATGGGTGAGAGAGAGACACTCTGTCCAAAAAGAAAAAGAAAAGAAATACACATTTGGTTTCTGCCCTTATCCCGGCACAGAGCTTCTAAAGTTCTCATAAACTTCTCGGTGATAAAGGTGATAGGAGCATCTTCTGTTTCAATATTTGGTCTTAGTCCCAGGTTTCTAACACAAGAACCTCTAAGACCTTTGGGATCTCCACCATAGTAAGAATGCATTTGATGATGTTACTGAGATGACTGGGTGACTGAAAGCTCCTAGACAGCTTCAGGAGGAGGGCTGGTTGCCAGAAGAGCAAACCATGTGATTAGAGGCTTGGAACTGTCAGCCTCACCTACTGAGCTCCAGAAAGAAACAGTGGCTGAAGATTGACTTAATCAGCAACAGTCAACTGATTTCATCAATCATGCCTGCATAATGAGGCCTTCATAAACACCCTAAACAACAGGGTTTGGAGAATGTCTGGGTTGCTGAACACAAAGGGGATACTAAGAGGTAACATGCCCAATAGAGGGCATGGAAGCTCTGTGCCCCTTCCCACATACCCTGCCCTGTGCATCTATTTCCCTTTTTTTTTTTTTTTTTTTTTTTTGAGACAGGGTCTGGCTCTGTCTCCCAGGTTAGAGTGGCACAATCGTGGATCACTGCAACCAGTATGCCTCCCTAGTTCAAGCCATCCTTTCACCTCAACCTCCTGAGTAACTACAAGTGTAGGCACATGTCACCGCACCAGGCTATTTTAGAAAAAAAAAATTTGTAGAGATGGGGTTTCAGTGTTGCCCAGCCTGGTCTTAAACTCTTGAGCTTAAGCGATGCTCCTGCTTCGGTCTCCCAAAGTGCTGAGAATACAGGCAGAAGCCCAGCATGTGTACATCTCTTTCATTGGCTGTTTCTGAAATATATCCTTTACAATGAACCAGTAATAGAAAGTAAATTGGTGAGATCCAGTGGCTCACGCCCATAATCCTAGCACTTTGGGAGGTTGAGATGGGAGGATCATGTGAGCCCAGAAATTTGGGACCAGCCTGGGCAACATAACAAGACGCCATCTCTACAAAACATAAAAGAACATAGCCAGATATGGTGGTGCAGGCCTGTACTCTCATTGGGAGGCTGGGGCAGGAGGATCACGAGTCCAGGAGTTCAAGGCTACAATGAGCTTTGATCACACGGCTGAATTGCAGCCTGGCAACACAGTAAGACCCTGTATCTCAGAAAAAAAAGAAAATAACCTGTTTTTCTGAGTTCTGCAAGCTGTTCTAGCAAATGATTCAACCGAAGAAGGGGGCCATGAGATCCTGGTTTCTAACTGATTGGTCAAAAGTACATCTAACAACCTAGGACTTGCAATTGGCATGTGAAGTGAAGGTAGTCTTGTGGGACTGAGCCTCTATCCCGAAGGGTCGGCACTAACTCCAGGTAGTGTCAGAATGCAATTGGGGGATACCCAGTTGGTATCCAGATTGTCCGAAAACTGGTGTAGAATCTCCACATGCACATTTGGTTTGAAGTGTTTGACCACAGCTACTATTCAAGAGAAAGAACTACTCATTATTAAAAAAAAAAAAACATAAAATTATGTTCTACAAAAAACAAATCAACCTTATCTACAGCCCAGTCCTACTCAAATATGGAATGTTAGAACAAAAAGTCTCATCATGGACTCGAGAGCTGACATCAGGAATGTCACAGCCATCCTGCTCTCTGAGAACTCATCTTCAACAGGCAGGGGGGACACTGCAACTTGGGCCATGATCCCTGCGCAAGTAGTAAAAAAATGAGTAGTAGAAATCCAGGGTCCTAAACCCATATCCAGAGCGGTAAGAGTTTTTCACCGGCTGGCTAATTTACAGTGGTCTTGCATCAGAGGAAAAATAAGGCTCAGAAACTAGGTATTCAAGTTACCCAAAACTCTCATCAGATACAGAATCCATCTGCTAACTTTCTATCTAGTATTAATTCCATAAAGTTAGAAAAATATCACTCCAAAAATAAATCCATATGGCACCTAGCATCAATGCATTTCTCCCAAGTAAAAGAGGAGGCAAGGTGCTTTACAACTCAGTGATGGGTTACCACAACACAGGACAGTGGTACAAAGCTCCCTTTCTCCCCCGCATAACCCAACACAGAAAAGAGTGGGTGCAGTGGAATGAGGCTGGGTGAAGAGAAGTTCCTCTTCTTACTGAGAAAATAGATCACAGGGCATCAAGTAACATGTAAAAGTCTTTACAACAAGGCATTTTTTAAAAAAACATTTTCTAATATTTTGGTATCAGGAAAACCCTCAGATGAATTTCAAACACTATAAAAATGCAATACATAAACAGAAAATATTAACTGTTAACAATAATAGAGATAAATTGGAACCTTTATGGATTGCTTTTTGGAATGTAAAATGTTACAGCCCACTGTGGAAAACGGTTTGGTAGTTAACATATTAAGCATAGAATTAATGATCCAGCAACACCCTTTAAGCTCTATACCCAAAAGAACTAAGAGCAGGGACTCAAACAGGTATTTGTACACCCGTTTAATAGCAGCATTATTCACAGTGGCCAAAAGGTAGAACCAGCCCTATGCCCATCAGTAGGTGAATAGATAAAGAATATGTAATATACACATACGCAGAATATTATTCAGGCATTAAAAAAAAAAAAACTCACCAGGTTCAGCAGCTTACACCTGTAATCCTAGCACTTTGGGAGGTCAAGGCGGGCTGGTCGCTTAAGCACAGAATTTTGAGACCAGCCTGGGCAACACGGCAAGACCTCACTTCTACAAATAAAATTTTTTTCTTAAAAAAGGAAATTCTGATAGTGTTACGAGCCTTGACAGCATTATGCTAAGTGAAATAAGCCAGACACAAAAGGACAAATATTGTACAAGTCCACTTATATAAGGTATTTAGAATAAACAAATTCATAAACAGAAAATAGAATAGTAATTGCCAGGGGCCAGGAGGAGGGTTCAATGGGGAGCTATTGCTTATGGGGTACAGAGCTGCAGTTTAGAATGATGACAAAGCTCTGGAGATGGAGAGTGGTGATGGCTAACAATGCGGATGTGCTTAAAACACCAGGGACCTGTGTGCCCTTAAAAATGGTTAAGTGTTATTTTGTATTATGTATATTTTATCAAAAAATAAAAATAAAACACCAAAACAGTACACCACATAAGGACGTACTAAGATGGCAAATCTAAAGCAACTTTTTAAAACCCAGATAGTTTTTCTGTAAACAGCATACGAATTAAATGCTTATTAAAAATTTGCCCCTTTAATTTAGTTGAATTAATTCTACTTTCAGAGATTAAATAATTAAATACACTTAATTGGAAGCATAACTGAAAAGCTAAACACTGAATGCAGGAAGAGGAACTGTAAAAACACATCTATGTACATAAACTAATTTACTGACAACACTCGAGTATCCCTTAACTAAAGCCCCAGTATTACAGAGAAGATGGACAAGCACTTGAAAAGCTGTCAGCAGGAAACTGTTATACCTAAAAATGTCAATAAATCTGCATTAAAGAGAATGTTCTATTTTTCTATTATTAAAGGTTGTCACCTAGCGTTACCATCTGTTACCATGTGCACTGACTACTAGGCCAGATTTAGACATCAACAAGTAATGAAGCATACATACTTAGGAAGTTACAATTTATAATAAAAACTATGATCAGAAAAATAGTATTTGCATCATGAAGACCTTCAGTTACCACTTAGTTTTCATCCTCATAGGCTTTATTGATCAATATAGTAAAGAGGTATATTAACTCTTATAACTTAAAACAACTTGTTGCCTAGGAAAGCATACCAAAAAGAATCATCTTTTATTTCCAAGACAGGTGTTTTAAGAATAATATAATCTGTAAAAGAGAATAGACATACAACAGGCCAGGCATGGTGGCTCACGCCTGTAATCCCAGCACTTTGTGAGGCCAAGGCAGGCGAAATCACAAGGTCAGGAGATCGAGACCATCCTGGCCAACACGGTGAAACCCTGTCTCTACTAAAAATACAAAAATTAGCTGGGTGTGGTGGTGCGTGCCTGTAATCCCAGCTACTCAGGAGGCTGAGGCAGAAGAATCCCTTGAACCAGGGAGTCGGAGGTTGCAGTGAGCTGAGATCATGCCACTGCACTCCAGCCTGGTGATGGAACAAGACTCCATTTCGAGGAAAAAAATAAAAAATAAAAATACAACAAATACAGTAACACATAAAATCTCTTTTAACCTTCTGCTGGTCCTTCAGTTGCTGCTGGTACTGTTCCGTCATTGCCTTCTGAAGAATGATGGCTTCCTAAAAAGAAAATAAACATATAATAAACCAATAAAAACTCACAGTGAAAGACAAAAGAGAATCTAGATAACAATGCAATCATTTTTAAGATATAATAAACATGAAAAATGATTTTTTAACTCAATGGAAAAAATACTTTCTAATTCAGAAAAAATTATAACACTTCTATTTGGAAGCTAAAAAATATTATTTTAGAATACAAATACAGAGTAGACCAAAGTAGGTTTGTGGATTTAACATTAGTTACTGTAACTGTATGATAAAATTACTGGATATTGCAACCTGAAGAAGCACAATTATGCTTCAAGTACCATGCTCATCTGTCTCACTCACACATACACACACACACACACACCCCCTGAAGTGTGAATGCTTGCTTTGCTCAGACACTTAATTAACTTTCTATAAATAAGTTCAGGGTTTGCTGTAGAATGCTTCCTGCTTTCCATTTTCACTATGGTGAAAGCTATGGAAACTCGATCCCCATAATTTAATCAAAGTTGTACTTAAAGTAACTCATAAGTAAAAATTTAAGATCCTATCTTCAGTATCAAGAAAACATTTTAATCCGGGTAATATAATCTGCTTGCTTCTAAAAACTGGGACATAAAGCAACAGATCAGTTAGGCAGTCACATGGTAAACAGGTTTATCCTACTGGAGCAGAAGTTTATTCACAAATAGGAAAGAAAGAATCTAAGATTATCAGAGCTCCAGTAAGGATTAAGACCACAGGTTGCCCCTAGTATACATCCACTGTCCTTAAAGATCTGAGCTACTAACATGGAAAAGATTGAAAAACACTGCCTTCAAGTATAAATAAAAATGTATTACATTTCGGAAGAATACATTGCTTAGGGGGAAGGGAAGCAGATGCTCATCTATTTTGTCCTATCTATTGATAAATAAAGTCAGAAGCTGTACTAAAACTAAAATAAAAGTTATACATACATTTTCTCTTAATTTTTAAAGAGTAATGATTAGTCTGAAAAACTCATTTGGTGGTTACTGTTCTTGAATTAAAAGTGCCATACTGAGGTGAAATCTTTTTGGTTTTCAATACCTAGCTTTATTATGTCACAATTATCTTGGGATTCTTTTCAACTTACTGCATATTGTGAAAACTCACCTGAATTCAAAACTCTAGGTAAATCTACAAACATCTGTGAATCCATCTTTAATTAACTTCTAAAACACACTTTCTCTGCACACATTTCCTTTCTCTTTTTTTAACTTTAATATTTGGATTTAGGAAGCATTAAGTTCTTTGACTGTAAAGTCAAAGAAAAATGAGATATGAGGTCAAAGGAATGATAGATAATAAAGAAGAGGCCGGTAATTAAAAAGTAAAATTTCAGTAAAGAATGACAGTTAAGATCGTTGTTCATGTTACTACCTGAACACCAAGGGTTTGGTCCAGGTCCTGCTGCTCACCAGACAGTAACTAGTCATTGAGGTGACAAGTATTACCAAGCAAGAAAGCTTTAACCTGGTGCTGCAGCCCAGGAGATAGGGGCTCAGTCTCAAATTTATCTCCCTGACTGACTAAAACTAGGGTCAGGAAAGAAATGTAATAATGTGTAAGAGAACAGAAATTAGAGAGGGGCAGGAGGCAGCTGGTGCTGAGATCTGATATTTTTCAGTTATTTGATACTTACTGAAGGTCTTTTTTTGAGGAGAGAACTCAGATAAAACAGATACAAGTTTCAAGGTTTAACAGCAGGGTCAACTCTTACGTTGATCCAAACAAAACCCTATCCATGGGACAACTGGGCCGGTGTCAATGTAAGCAATAATTCTATAGGTCCTTTTTGTTTAAAATCTGAACAATTAAATTTATATTATATGCTAAACATAAGGAAAATACATCTTATGTACTCAAGGCCAGAAGAGAGAGAAGTAAAACTTACTACTAATAGCCTATGAGTGTCAAGTTTGGGAACACTATAAAAAATTACAAAAAAGTAATAAATGCATAAAAGTTACAAATTAACAAGTGCTATTTCAGAATTCTTCTAAATACTAAGTACATGAACTTACTAATATTTGCATTACTAACCACACAATAAGAACCCGACTTCTGACTATTCTGAGATAAGGTATAAACGTGTACCTTTACCTTAAATGGGAAAGTGTGTCTTGTACCCACTTTGAGATTAGTGAAAGGGAAAACTGATTTGAAAAATGTTTGCTTGTCAAGTTCATTTATATGTTAAGACAAGGTCAATACAATTTTTCCTTTTCAATGTAGAAAAGTAATACATAATACTATAGTTATAAATACTAAAACACAGTCTGTGGAATACAAGAAAACATTAAATACAAACACTACGTAGGAAAATGGAGGTAAAAAGATGATACCTTGCAAAGACTTCAGTAGAAGATTTTTATCAACGTCATCGCTTTCAAAAGGGCATGTTTTAGGATACAAAGATAATACTTCAACAGTAACCCTCCCTCCCCAGGCTAGAGGCAGTGACTTATGCCTGCAATTCCAGCACTTTGGGAGGCCAAGACAGGCAGATCACTTGAGGTCTGGAGTTCGAGACAGACCTGGCCAACAGAGTGATACCCCATCTCTACCAAAAAATACAAAAATTAGCTAGGTGTAGTGGCATGCACTTATGTAGTCTCAGCTACTCGGAAGGCTGAGGCAAAAGAATCCCTTCAACCTGAAAGGTGGAGGTTGCAGTAAGCCCAGATTGTACCACTGCACTCCAGCTTGGGCGACAGAGTGAGAATCTGTTTTAAAAAAAAAAAAAAAAAAAGTCATGTTTACATAGAGTTAGGCTGCACAGCTCACTCTCTTAACCATCCTGTAATTCTGCCCACTCTATGCTATGCTCAGTCACTGACGCACTTGTTTGGTAGCTCCCTTAGAGCTTAGAACCTAGGTTTTATGTCCTGCTCTACAGCTATATAATTTAACAATTTTCCTCTTGAGTTTGTTGGATTCTAACCCTATATATAACAAATCTTATTAATAGTACTGAATATTAAAGGAGGCTGTGATGTCTTTAGTCCCTAGAAATATTAAACAACCTATAAACAAACGACCATATGAGAGTAAACAATCCAAATTTCTACATGCTTTAAAACACTGAGGCAATGTACTGAGAAACACACCTAAGAAACTGCAACCAATCTACTCTGGACAAAAATTTAGACACTGTCTCTTCAAAATAAGCTATCTGGTGGTACTTATGCATATTCTTACATATAGCAACAGTATTTTACATGCCATAACCTTAAAAATAATTTTAAAAGTGTCAAAATTATAAGCCTTAATCCATCTCTGTGGGCTTGAAAAATGATACAATATACATTTGTTTCTTTAAAGTATTCAATAAAATGCATAAACTTCTAGAGCAATCACTGAAAAAAGGGTTCATACTAAAGGTTGTAATACTAGGAAAGAGGACTCAGTACTGCAGGTTCTTAAAGGCAAAAGTTAATAAAGCCTTGCTTTTGGTTGTGAATCCTGGCCTTAAAACATTATTCACATGATCTCCCCTTCCTTTTCCTATTGTAAAGATGTGGTGACAAACCAGGTTTGCTCATGCAGATAATAATCTTGAAAACAGTGGCAGAGAAATAACATGAAGGGAATATAGTTTACTTAATGACCTCCTAAAATGGAACTTATTACCCCATGCCTCTTGCATATCTCCAGACTAATATAAAAGAGGTATGAAATGGCTGTTTCCTACCAGTATTTTATTTGATGCTTCATTTTTTTTTTTAATTACTTGTATAACTACCTACAATGCGTTAACAGGAACAGGAAAGCATAGCTATTCAAGTAACTAAATAATTATATAAATCTCTAAGACATAGTAATGGACCAATTATTTTTAAAGTACAACACACTGACAAGTAGTTTATTTTTAACTCAGTTTTGGTTTGGGAAAAAGCAAACAAAAGCAGGAGGAGGTGAAGGAGAAACAAGAATAGAAACAAGAAATAGAACCAGCAGCATAAGCAAGTAAAGAGGAACGAGATGATGATGATGAGAATAAAACAGACTGGAAGAAAGGAAAAAGAACAGGTGAGAGAACCAGAAGGCCTATTATGATACCTTTTTTCCCCTCCTTGATTCATGAAAACTGAAAAAGTTCAAGACTTTTTTACAACAACAACAACAAAAAACAAGCAAAAAGATACACAATCACCCCCTAAATTTTGTTAAGACTGAGATAATGCTCCATTCACGTCTGGCTCAGGTGCCAGCAGAAGGAAGGGACCCTCCAGATTCTACAGAAGAAGGGGGAGGACTCCTCCTTGCCCTGACGGCACCTCCACTGCTACCACCGAGGCCCACGGCACAGCACCCACAGCTTCCTACCCATGCCAGGCCAGGTGGCTCCGCAGCGCTCCTACTCCCACTTCCCAGGACCCCAGACTTGCGGCTGCTGCCACCACTAGGGCCAATGCCAATACAACCACCGCTGCTGTCGCCCTCGATGCACTGGCGCTCCCTACAAGGCTCTTACCACCTGGCCACAGCCACAGCCCTGCCCCCCAACCTGGCCACAGACGGCGGCCCTCCTACCTACTCCTCCAAAGCACCAGCCACCGCAGCGAAGCCAGCCGCCACGTCCCAGGCTCCAGGCTCCAGCCTTCACTTTCCAGCGTGTGGCAGGTTGTTCCTCCTTCTGGCACGGAGCAGCTGAGCCAACAAAGTCAGAAAAGCCTAGAACATGATGCAGGGAGTGGTAACGTTAGAGCCTAACCTCGTCATAGTGGCCACTGGGTGGCAGTGACAGGTTTCAGTTAACTGGAGACTCCACAGTGGCCTGCTCCCCATCCACAGGAGCCGTTGGGCCCACCGGGGCTGCGGCTCCTCGGCGAGCAAGAACAGCAAAACTCACACCCAGCCACCACCACCCCGCCTGCCCTGTCCGCCCCTCTCCGCGCCCCCCGCCCAATCCGAGTGCCAGTTTCCGTTCCTAACGCCTCCACCCACAGGGCCCTGTCCCCCCATGACGCCTGCTACTCCGTGTCCAGGGATCCCAGGTTGTCTCAACACAGAGCAAGAGGACGCAGACCCGGGAACCATGACGGGTGTCGGGGCCCTGCCATGCTCATGATTCCCATGGAAACGCTGTGCCCCCACCGGGCTAAATCCACGAGCAGTAGGAGGTCTCCCTCTAGATTCTGGAGCCTGGCTCCTTCCTTGGAGGCCACCGCTGTGGCGGCCACCTTTGCCACCACCAGCAGTGTAGCCCTCGATAGTGTCCCGAACACCCCCACACTCCCAGGAAGTGTAACCACCGATAGCGCCCCCAACCCGTCCTCACCTCGAGCACCCAATAGCGACCCCAAACCGCCCCCATACCGGAAGAAATGACGCCTAGAACAGCGCCCCAACCCGCCCTCCGTCCCCGAGCACCACAGCCCTGGATAGCACCCCAACCCCCTCCCAGCTGCAGGCAGTGATGCCCGGAATAGCGCCCCCACGCAGTGGGCAGTACAGTTGAGGATACGCACCTACCGTGGCCGCCTTTCTACCACTCCAGCAGCTGTGCCGTCTCTGTTGCAGCCACCAGCCTCAGCGAGGCGAGCCGCTGTGCCACAGGCTCCGGCCTCCAGCTTGCGTCAGCGGAAACCACCTTCTCCTCCCGCTATAGCACCGTACCGAGCCAGCTGCTAGTCCGCCATCTTACTGCTCCGGCTGCACTTCAGTCTCTGTTGTTGCCACCAATGTTCTGATTGGATGAAAGAAAACCTCTAGGCTTATTCTGATTGGGCTTTCCTATCATGTTCTGATTGGTTAGCCTAAGGCTTGCTCTCATCCAATCAGAACATGTAGTCCAGGAACCTTGGTATATAAAGCCTGCTAAGCGGGAGTCAGCCCGTTCCAGGCTCTTTTGCTTCTGTGTGTTCTGCTGGTGTGTGCCCAGCTTAGAAGTGGGGAAGGGGCTGGGCATGGTGACTCATGCCTGTAATCCCAGCACTTTGGGAGGCCGAGGCCGGTGGATCACGAGGTCAAGTTTAAGACCAGCCTGGCCAAGATGGTGAAACCCCCGTCTCTGCTAAACATACAAAAATTAGCCGGGAGTGGTGCTCCTGTAGTCCCAGCTACTTGGGAGGCTGAAGCAGGAGAATCGCTTAAACCCAGGAGGCGGAGGTTGTAGTGAGCCAAGATCGCGCCACTGCAGTCTAGCCCAGGTAACAGAGCAAGAATCCATCTTGGAGGAAAAAAAAAAAAAAAAAAAAAAGGAAGGGGGAAAGAAAGAGCCACCTGCTGCATGCTGGAGGCTGTAGCCTACAGCTGCACAGCTGGGCTCACTGCAGTGAGTGGCAGTGATGCAGCATGGCAGGAGCAGTAGGATCTGGATGATTTCCAGCTTCATCCATGTCTCTGCAAAAGACATGAACTCATTCTTTTTTATGGCTGCATAGTAGTCCATGGTGTATATGTGCGACATTTTCTTTATACACCAAGCAATAAGATTTATCATCTGGGAGGCCAGGTGCAGTGGCTCACGCCTGTAATCCCAGCACTTTGGGAAGCCAAGGCAGGCAGATCATGAGGTCAGGAGCTCGAGACCAGCCTTACCAACACGCTGAAACCCCATCTCTACTAAAAATACAAAAAAAAAATTAGCCAGGAGTGGTGGCGCGTGCCTGTATTCCCAGCTACTCAGGAGGCTGAGGCAGGAGAATCACTTGAACCCAGTAGGTGGAGATTGCAGTAACCTGAGAATGAGCCACTGCACTCCAGCCTGGGAGACAGAGGGAGACTCCCATCGCATAAATTAATTAATTAATTAATTAATTAAATTTATCATCTGGGGTATCAGGCGAGAGGACTAGCTAGGTTGGGTACATGGAATTAGAATTCCTGAATGAAGAAATTCAAAATTAAAGTTAAGAATATTATTGGTCTATATAGCATTTACAGAAAGGCCAAAGAGACAATATTCCAGACTATAGAGGTTAGAGAAAATCAAGTTATCTATCTTAAGAGCACATTTTGTATTTTGTTTTTTTTTTGAGACAGAGTCTTGCTCTGTCACCCAGACTGGAGTGCAGTGGCGTGATCTAGGCTCACAGCAAGCTCCACCTCCCGGGTTCATGCCATTCTCCTGCCTCAGCCTCCTGAGTAGCTGGGACCACATGTGCCCGCCACCTTGCTCGGCTAATTTTTTGTATTTTTAGTAGAGAAGGGTTTCACTGTGTTAGCCAGGATGGTCTCGATCTCCTGACCTTGTGATCCACCCGCCTCAGCCTCCCAAAGTGCTGGGATTACAGGCGTGAGCCACCGCGCCAAGCCCAGCCTCCTTTTCTTTCAATTTTGGCATAACACAGAACTCAGCAAAACTTTGACAGTAAATACTATTTACAATATTATTGTCTTCTCTATCTACTTGTTTATTTACTGAGAAAAAAATGTCAGCGTAATCACAGAAGCAACCTAATGAATAAACTACACCTTGATTATAAGAAAGAATGAAAATTGATTCATCTTTCTTGAATACAGAGTTTTAAAAATTCTTAAGTGAACTATGGCTTATTGAGTACATCACAATACTTTTCTGTTACAAAAACAAAGACAAATGACTGCTTTGGGGTTATTTCCCCAAATAGCTTCCATGGGTTTCTCCATCTGGTACATTGCAAAACTTCTTTTAACACCTAAGCCCTCAGGAGAATTTCACAGCCGCTTTGTAAATCCTGGAAGTTCAGGAAACTGCCAACACATGCTGACCATGCTAAGTCCCAGTCTCCTTGGAAAGGAGTCTTGATAGTAGTGGACTCTCCCTTGAGGAAGTCTCACATGGCAGAAAACCAAGCGACTGTAACACAGGGTCTAGTTGTGCAGTGATCTGCCTCGCTCACTGTCCCTGGGGTTCATTTTCCTCAGCTGGGCACACACAGAATTATGGCTTTCTTTGAACAGAGTTCTTTTGTATCATACATACCTATGTTAGAGCCATTTGACTCCCTTCATTGTTGGTGGTCTCCAAGCATAAGAAGAATATTATAGGTCAGGCATGGTGGCTCATGTCTGCAACCCCAGCTCTTTGGGAGGCCAAGGAGGAAGGATCACCTGAGGCCACGAGTTCGAGACCAGCCTGGACAACACAGAGAGACCCCATCTCTACAAAAATTTTTAAAAATTAGTTGTACATGGTGGTGCATGCATGTAGTCCAAGCTACTTGGGAGACCGAGGCAGGAGGATCACCTGAGCCTGGGAAGTTGAGGCTGCAGTGAGCTATGATCACACCACTGCACTCCAGTCTGGGCAAGACAGTGAGCTCCTATCTCAAAACAACAACAGCCACAACAACAAAAACGTAAAAAGAATATATAAATGGGAGAATGTGTTCTTAGAACTCACCCACTCGAAACTCGAGGACATCAAATTGACAGTCTTGGTGACTTTCTAGGTAAAAAAATCTTCAAAATGATTATAAATAGATGATTTTTCCTGATTTGGATTGCTGAGAGTTCATTCACAGTTTAGGTTTGTCGAGTAATTCCTGACTCCATCATAGCCAGGAGAAGTAAAGTTTCCTTCAGAAGTGTTTGGAAGAGACCCACCACACACTAAGAAAACAGAAGGCAACAGAGAAAGTGGTAGTAAGATTCAGGCCACAACAGAAGAGATAAACAATACAGGAATAGTAACTAAAACATCAACATTACTGCTTTGATTTGTATTTCTAGATGCAGTCAGGATTATGATTATGGGTAAAAGGCATGCAAATTATGGAAGTTTCTGCAAGTTTATAAAGGAAAAATGTGCAAAAATCAGTTCTCTATCTTCCTGTTGGTGTAGATTAGGTGGCTGGGGTTTGGCTCTGTATCAATAAGTTAAAATATTGAGGCCTACTGTTCATTAATATTTAATTTAGAGGAATACCCAAATATAATGGTGGCAGGTCCTAATGGCTTGATTAGCAATTCTCCACTTGATCTAATAATTTAATTTAAATCAAACAGATAATAGGACATTGACCTACCAATGAATTTGCCCCCTTTTAATAAAGTAATAGATGCTTCTTGTACCAATGAAATAATTTAGTGGTTTTTTTTTTAATATTCACTTCCACTTCTAAATTTTAAAACCCTTAGGTAATAGCACCAATCCAGGAAATAGGAGGATATTTATAATTAGAGACCATATCTTGCTTAATTTTGAAATATTCTATATCAAATCAAACCTCCCATTTATTTTCACTGGAAATACGTGTGTGAATAGATGACTAGAAACAATAAAGCCTGTTCTGTCCCCAGCAAAATTAATTATTCTCCGAGACTAAGCTACCTTCTAGGAGGTAGATGCTCTCTTTCCGCACCAAATAATTGACCAAGGACTATGGGACAGGTCACCAATCTTCATGGTAACACGACTGAAACTGTGCTAGAAGTTCATCTAATGGCATTAAAGTTTTAAATTCACCACAGCAGTTTCTTCCTGAAATCAGAAAGCTTTTTTCTGTCTGCAGTAAGTTTTTGATCTGCTTATATGTGTTTGTCTTATGTCAAATATTTCAAGTGAACTTTGATCACTAAAGGGAAAATGGATGGCTCTGCTGCCATTGGCAGTAGCTGGGGGGCATCTGCAATGCACCTGATCAAAATGAGGTACATTTACAACATCCCACATTATCTGCATCTTCACTGGAGGTATAAGAAGCAGTGAAGCCTCCATATGGCCTGGATCCATCCATGTGAAAAAAATGACTTTCATTGTGTTTCCTGAAGATTTAATCTCACTGCTTACATTCACACTACTACACAGTTTCTCTAGCTGGGGTGAGTTACTTCTAATGCCATTGAATACCTTTGGGAAAGAGTTTAACCTTTAGACACACAATCCATCTTACTGCATATTTCCTAGGAGGTGATATTCCCAGCCCAGACCCACTTCCTTCTATGGGAACCCTGCCCTAAAATGAATGATCTAACAATGCAGGTTTCTGTCCCAGTGCCACAAGCCACTATGTTACCCTGAACACATTTTGTGACCTCAGGATGATTTCACTAGAGTGAAAGTATTGCAGTAATGCCTTCCTGCCATGGGGTGATAGATTAAAAGCTGCTGTACACTTTGGAACTAGAAGCCGAGCTCCCAATATAAAGGAAGATAAGCCATCATGCTTACAATGTGGTGTGCAGAGCTCACTGATGGGCAGTTTTTCTTAACAATGCATCAGGACTTTTGTTATTTGGAAAGGAAGCTTAAATGTTAGTTTCTGATGATTCGATGTATATAATGAAGCAGATATTTTTATATATTTTAATTTTTGTTTATTTTTTGAGATGCGGTTTTGCTCTTGTTGCCCAGGCTGGAGTGCAATGGCATGATCTCGGCTCAGCTCGCTGCAACCTCTGCCTCCCAGGTTCAAGCGATTCTCCTGCCTCACCCTCCCAAGTAGCTGGGATTACAGGCATGCACCACTGTGCCCAGCTAATTTTGTATTTTTAGTAGAGACGGGGTTTCACCATGTTGGTCAGGCTGGTCTCGAACTCCTGACCTCAGGTGATCCACCTGATTCGGCCTCCCAAAGTGCTTGGATTACAGGTATGAGCCACCATGCCCGGCAAGCAGATATTTTTTAATACCTTGAAAAGTAATTTGAAAAATCAATCTCCATATGCAATTAAACATAATAGTTCTTTCCTCATTAGTTATGGATTCAAAGCTTCAATTTTCTTATTTGAATTTTTAAGAATGAATTATTATTGACTCCAAAA